CGGGGGTTGTACTCTCCCCCCCCCCCCCAAAAAAAGAAAGGTGCCGGCGGCGGCAAAAGAACGAGGGAGGAGGAGGCCAAGGCTGACGGTATCGCAAGGGCCGTTGGCAGCGGTGTTTTGGTCAAGATCCTTGGGCATCCTGAGATCCTGTTGAGGTGAGGTTGTCGTTGCTAGTATTTGTTGTCCGTGATGGGTCCTGTGCCATCGAGTGGTTGTGCCAGTGTCCGGTGGCGGGGCTTGATGTCCGCTGGCGCTTCCTCCACTGACGATTTGGAGCTACTGGAGCTGGGGAATCGGCGGCGTTTGCGACGGTTGTTAGATCCTGTTGAGGCGGCAGTGTTGTTTCCTGGGGAGGGCTGTCAAATGGCGGAATGTTGACGCTCAATACGGGTGACGTCACTGTGGGAGTGCGTGGCAGAGAGCGGTCTGGCGTAGCTGGGGCCTGGTTGGGCGTCTTGCTGCATGCCTGATGCACTTCGGGGGAGCTCGTTGTGGGATGGGCTTCATCGTAGGATTCATTCGTAGCGTCGAGTGTCCCTGGGTCCAGGCAAAATCGAGGCCAATCAGTTTCTTCCGTATCCTATGAACAGAGGGATTTTGTACTATTTTGTTTCATTAGATATTTTGGTATAGTAGGGGGTGGCGCGACAGGAAAGTTATATGCTTGTAACTCCCAGGCATTTGCTTGTCGGTCGCCCGCTAGGGTTTGGATGCGATATTTTGCTTTGCCAAGGACTGCTGTGATTCGGAAAGGTCCGAAGCATTTTGGTAAGAAGTGCCGGTTTGCGGCGTGTTTTTCTGTTGTTTTCAGTCGTGGCCTGAGGGTTACCATTTGGCCGAGTTTAAATTTGGTTTTGCAATGTCTATTGGCCTGCTGAATGTACCGTTTGCGGTATCTTTGGTTAGTTACTTTGACTCTTTCGAGTTCAGGGGATATGTCCCTTGGCGGTAGTTTGAATCTGATGTCTGCTGGGGTGGGTATTGGCTTTTTGTGCCAGAGTTCTATGGGCGGTAGCCCTGTGGCGGTGTGTGGCGTTCAGTTGTATGCAATTGCTGCGTTGAGTAAGATGTCATCCCAAGTGGTTGGGGTTGGTGCTGTCTTTGCTATGATAGCCGACAGGGATTTGATTGCTTGCTCAGAGGCGCCGTTGCCTTTGGGGTGGTATGGCTGGGCGATGTGTGACTCAATTTGATTTGCGGTGATAAACCTTTTGTATGGCGCTGAGTTGAAGACCTCTGCTCCATCTGAATGGATTATTTCAAATGTGCCCAGTTGGGCAAAAACGTCCGCTAGGAAGCTGCATAGGGCATTCGCCGTTGCGCGTTTGACGGGTGTGGTGACCACTCTGCGTGAGTAGTAGTTGATAGCGACTATTGCGTATTGGTTGCTGTTTGTTGATGGGGGGAATGGGCCCCAGAAGTCGACTCCGAGTCGGTTGTGTTTGTTTGCTGGCGGAACAGGTATGAGTTTGGTACCCACTGCGGCCGTTGCCGAGTTGAATGTGAAGCATTTAGCGCATTGTATGACATGATGAAATATGTCAGTGCGCATGCCAGGCCAGGTGAACCTTTTTCATATTGTATCGAAGGTCTTTTTCCAGTTGGTGTGGCCCATTTCCACCTGATATTGGTCAATGATGTCGGCGCGTTGCCCAGGATTGGGTACGTCGCGGAGTTGTATGCTGTTGAGCTGGATTCGGCTGAGGGCGTCTGGCCCTGTGAGGGTTTTGCCCGGCCAGTGTACGAACATATGCTGGAATGGTTCCAGTTTTAGGAGGAGGGCGATGAGTCTGGTGTCGACTAGCTCTCCTAATAATGCCTTGTGGTCCGTGACGATTTTGAATTGTCGATGTTCGATGTAGTGTCAAAACTTTTTGATTGTTGCCCATACTGCTGCCAGCAGTTCTCTTTGAGTGTTGGAGTAACGGGTCTCAGCGGGCGTCAGGACTCTGCTGGCGTATTCATTGATGTGTGGTTGTCCATTGTAGTCGATTTGGACTAGGATGGCGCCAATGGCGGTGGCCGAGGCGTCGCAGTGGATTTCAGTGTCCCACTGTGGTTTGAATCGTACTAGCCGCGTGGCGTTGGCAATTGCCTGTTTTAGGGCTTCAAAGGTGGCCTCTGCTTCTGGCGTCCATTTGAGCGCCGTGGCTGGTTTCACAGGGATTGTGTTGCGTAGGGTTTTTTCAAGATTTGCAAAATTGGTTGGTACGTGCGAGCGCAAGTATGTTGCGAGTCCCAAGAACCTCTGCATTTGCTTTGTGGTCTCGGGTTTGGGGAACGCTTGTATGGCTTTGAGATGTTTGTCTGCTGGTCGTGTTCCTGTCTTGTCAATGATGTGTCCCAAGAAGTGGATAGATTCTGCCAAGAATTTGGACTTGGAGATGTCTATTGATGCCCCGGCTGTCGCCAGGGTGTGTAGAACCTCGGAGAGGTTTTGCAGCACTTGTTCAAACGTGGTGCCAAAGACGATGATGTCGTTGATGTATACGATGCATTGGTTGTAGAGATGTTGGTGCAGGATGGTTTCCATGGTCCTTTGGAAGATGGCTGGACCAGTTTTCAGGCCATACGGCATCACTGTATATTGCATTTGCCCGGTCGGGGTTGTGAATGCAGTTTTGTGGTGATTGCCATGGGCTATGGGTATGTGGTGATACCCGGAGTGCAGATCCAGGCAGCAGAAGTATGCGTTTTGTCTGCCCAGTGCATCAAGGATGTCTTGGATGACTGGCATCGGGTAGTTGTCTGCCAGTATGACTTCGTTGATTTTGCGGTAGTCTTCTACTAGGCACCATCTTCGTATTACTGGTGCATTGGGGTTCTTGTCTTTGGGTGTCAGGAATGCTGGTGAGTTGACCGTGGACTGCGCCGGTTCGATGATGCCGGCTCTGGTGTAGTTGGCGAGGATTTCCGTCATTGCTGGTATTTTGTCAGGCAACAGTCGAATGCGCCTTGGTGGCTCGGGATCTTGGCCATTCATTGGGATGGATGCGACGTGTTGGGGGAACAGTCCGTGCTTCCCTGACCATTCGAAGATTTTGTATTTGGCGAGTAGATGGGCGACTACCTGTTGTTTGGCATGAGAGCCATTTACGAACGTAATGCCTTTGCCGGTTTTGGCTTGCAGGCTTTTGTTGATTGGTTTTATGGTTTGAAACCCGGAAAAAATTCGTTGGCCATCGAGTGTTATGCAAAACGGGAGGTTTTTTAGTGTGTTGAGGCCGAGAATTATTGGGTACCTTGCGTTTGCAAGTAGAGAGAAGGTCGCGCAATAGTCGGCTGAACTGAGTGAAAAGGTGGTACTTACCAAGTGGCTGATGTTGGCGGAGATGTGTAAGACAGCTGCGGAGATCTTCGCCTTTGTCGGATGGGGTGTGAGCCCTACTTTGGCTGCGACGTTGGTCACCATGAATGACCTGGTGGCTCCAGTGTCGATCAGTGCTGTGACGCGTTTGTCCTTGATGCCGATGATGATTGTTAGGCTGTTGTCTGTATCTTGGGGGATCGAGCAGAGGACAGCCGTCACTGCCCGATCTTGGCGTTTCCCTGGTTTGGGCAATTGGTTGCCGTGTGACCTGTAAGTCCGCATTGCACACATTTAGTTGGTTGGACTGTCTGCATGTTAGGTGTGTTTACCTGGTTGGCCGGGTTGTTTCGGCAATCTGCTGTCGAGTGTGCGACAAGGCGACCTGGGTGGTAGGTATACAATTGAAGGTTTTGTGGTGATTGGTTGCCAGTGGCCGTGTTGGGCCTTGGGTTTTGCCCGAGCAAGCATTTGGCGGTCGTGTGTAGGACGTACTGTTGGTGGTGGTCACAGTAATGCTTCTGTACTCCGGACGCCGTGGTTTTTGGTTGGCGGTTGCCTTGTTGAGTGTTCTGCGGGGCTGGTGATGCACGTGGAGTGTTGGGGTGCATGCAGCGGTATTTGTCCCTGTACGCAAGACAATTGACCCATGTGAGGGTTCAATCGGCTGTCGCCTTGGAGTATAGGTGGGCGTGGAGCCCTCAGGTGGTGATTGCCAGTAGTTAACCAATGAGGGCGGTGGTGATGGATCTTTCTTGACCGGGTAGGTCGGTTGCGCTGAGTGGTAAGTATCGGATGTACTCGCACCGTAGGCAATTGCCAAATTGTGCCCATGATTCATCTTTGAGGGGCCGTTGGGCTAGGAATCGTGTGAAATGTTTGAAGGGCAATAGTCCGAACTGTATCTTGAGCCGGTCGGCAATGTCATCGTAATTGTGATATCCCTCGTCGTAGAGGTGTTGGGCTGCCGCCGTGACTGTAGGCGTCGTGTGCCCGATCAGGCAGTCAATTTTTGTGTTATTGGACGTACCGTCATGACTGAATGTGATTTCCAGTTGGCGCAGGTAGACTTCAAAGTCCTCTCCCTGTGCTTGTTTCGGAAAATCCGCCCTGTGTCGGAGCAGCGATTTGGTGATGTTGGCGGTAAGTTTGGCGGCAGAAGGGCTGGCTCCAGGTCTGGGTGCTGTGTTTTGGAGCACATTGATTGGCTTTATGCCTTGCGCTTGGAGCGCTGCGACGAGTTTGTCTTGGTTACCCAAATGTGGGATTTGTGCGGTCGCACAGTACGATCGTATGGCCGGTAGCATGATATGTGCCCACTGGTTGTTATTGCGATAGTTTTGGGCGAACGCCAATGCGGAATCGCTTGATGGACTTGGGGATGCTTCGTCCATTTCACTTTGCACAATTCGCTCATTCGGGGTTGCCATGGTTTGTTCTCGCGCGGCTGAGCCCCCAGTAAGACTTTTGTCTCCACACACTCTCAATCAGGTGTTGTTACCTTCTTGAAGTAAAGCACACACTAAGTGGAACACAACGGTAGTGGATTATATTGGCACTCACTCGGGTAGCAGATTATAACTAATACAGTACACACAATAAAAGGCACTGATTCTTGTGACAACCATTTGGTTTGGGAGCTATAGACAAAGTGTGGCTCTCTTAGGCCTCAGGGGTATGGGCGCGAGTCGGTTGACGCAAGCGCGCAAGTGTATTGCGTCAGCCAGTTTGGATTGGTGCGGCGTAACAAAGTAAAAAGAAACAGTCAATGTTGCGTTTAGACCTTTGCGCGGGCCATGATGGCGGCGCCTATGGACCCGCGCGGGGGTTGTACTAAATCATATTCTACACAATATCCCGTGGTTATCTTGGTTCTTTAAAGAATCCACAGTATTTATAGAACACAAGTTGGCACAAATGCCACAATAGTTATTCTCTTACTGTATTTGAAGAATCAAATTTGAAGAAAATGGGACATGTTTGATGCTAACGTACCGCATGAACATAAATCGAGAATCCAAGATTTGAAATGTATTAATAATTTTAATATACTGTAATTACCTCTGCATTCAATGGTATCAGCAATTCAATAAATCGCACAGTTCACATGACACAATCACGCTGATTAAGTAAACCGAGGAGTGGTAAACGTCACATTCTCTTCCTACGAGTGGAAAAGTCTCCACTTTGTCGTAGAGCAAAAGATGCACTGAAACCAGTCGCAAGATTGTCTACCTGTTACTGAATCAGCCTGAAGTAAAAACATTTCATATACCCGAGTACCAGGATACAGAGAAATAAACTGGGAATAAAAAAAAACCGGAATGGTTCGCCAGCGCGGCAGAAAATCCTGCCCTGAGCCTTGTTGAACGGAGGACGATTTCTGTGTCTGTCTGGTTTTTGCGTGTGCATGACTTTCTGGTAGAGTTGGACTCATCTAAAGAAACAAACGATAAATTTCGATCTTATCCTGTTGGATTTAGTACATCAATCTGAGGTTTTTCAGGTGACAATTAAGAAATACAATGAGGCCCCAAGATGCGGATGAAATCAGTGCTTGGACCACCTTGTCCCATATGATGTTGGAACATCAACATGTTGGATCGCATTTTCCCGTAGACTTCAACGGGAATATTTGTGATTGGTTCCCCCGATGATCGAAAATTAAGCAAATGTCCCAAAAATGAAATAAATTTTCTCAACTTCAAGATATAAAAAATACCTGTGCAGATAAAAATCACTCATGATCTTTTCTTTTGGCATGGAAAGGAGCCAAAAAAGCACGCAAAAAGTCTTGCTATACTTTATACTAGGATGAAAAAAGCACAAAATTAGCCCGTTTTGAAATATTAATTTCAGTAAATTTATAACATTCCTTTTTAATTGTTTGTCAATATAAAGAGCTTAATTTGTTCAAGGGATATCAAAATTTAGAAAAAAAAATATTATTTGTCTGAAATTGTTGAGGCATTTGATTCTTTAAATGTGGATTTCAGGGCAGATTTTTTTTTTTCGTATCTCTAAGTCGAATCCTCCATATATCGGGGCGTTCGCATTTCGGGGCCACAATATGTACTGTACTAAAAATAATAAAGTATGCGCTGTAGCATGAATGTCACCGCTAGGAAAATTGTTGCAGATAGAATTGTGAAAGAGATCTAGACTAGAAGGGCTTTTCAACCGGTGGTACGCGTACCCCAAGGGGTACGCGAGTGCTTGCCAGGGGGTATGCCAACCACTGTCAGGTCAAAAAAAAAAAAAAATCGCTAGGTGTTCTGATCAGAAGGGTGGAGGTGAAAATTTCCTGAGTGTCTGCTTGCCATCCTAGGTTCAAATATTTTTTTGTCAGGTAAAAAAAAAAAAAAAATCGCTAGGTGTTCTGATCAGAAGGGTGGAGGTGAAAATTTCCTGAGTGTCTGCTTGCCATCCTAGGTTCAAATATTTTTTATTCATGGGCTCTCTGGTCCTTTCTGCCCCTTACCTCCCTCCCACAGAGCCCTAGAGAGGCTCCAGTTTCCCATTGTCCAGACTTTGAAAATTTGTTGAACATACAATCTTGACTCAATTATCACATTTCCTCAAGTGTTGCAGGCGCACAGATTTTTTCAAAATCTTCTTGTTTGAAGTTTTGAAAAAGCGTCACCATTGTGTGAGATATCATGATAAATGCAAAATTTTTTTGAAAATTGAGCCAAAATTGGAAAAATTGTTTTACATTTAAATTTTCAACTAATTCATTTTCCCAAATTTGTCCTGATTTAAAAATTTCTGCATTTGTAAACCTTGAATGCAAATCTAGCCCTGCAAGAAATTTTGAAATAGAGCAAATTTTAAAGAAACCATAGTGAGCTGAAGAGAAATGTTTCAAATGTTTGTGTCCTGCTTCTCACACTTCAAAAATTTGCTAAGCATTCAATATTCAACCAAACTATAAGTTTTAAAACTTATTTTTAGAATCACCATGGTGTTAGCCACATATTTTTTTTTTATCTTGAAAAAGGTTTTAAATTGATGGATTGACAATGAAGAATGCAGAAGTTTTTTCAAAATCAGGAGAAAATTGGGAAAAATCTTTTCACATTTTGATTTTCAACTAATTCAACTTCCAACATTCTCCCCTATTAAAAAATTTAAATTTTTAAAACTTTAGTGTGCATCTAACCCTGCAATAAATCTTTAAATTGACCAAATTTTAAAGAAATTACAGTGAGCTAAATATAAATGTTTCAATTTTGCATCCCAATTTTGACATTTTAAAAATTTATAAACTTTGTTTCAGGAGGACATTTTTTCAGATCAATTTGCAGATAAGATTTGTGCTTCCATTGCCATTACAACTGATGTGAGAAATGTTGCAGCCTGATGCTATTCAAGTCAGGTATTCTTGGCCAAACCCAGCCAGTGCTACATCTGCAGTGATACACATTTGAGGAAAAAAATTTGATGTCTAGGTCCACAGAAAAAGCTTCATGATTTGCTCTAACAAACATATGTCAGGAAGAAATAAAATGTATGTAATGTATCAAAGCAGATTTACATGTGCCAAATCCCAAATTTTGAAGGGCTTCCAGAAACATTATCGTAAATTCTGAAAATTCCTAAAATTAAATTCTTTCAGGAAAATAAAAATTCAACTTTAAGCTTCCTGGATAATGCCAGAAACAAATGTGTTGGATACAAAACATTTATCAGCTATTGTGCAAGCAAGAGCATTAAACCTCAAACTTGCCAAGCATTAGTCTGGTTTGCAAAAAAATGGCTCTCAAACCATGCAAAAATGCCAAGACTTCAGCACCCAACAGTTTATTCATAACTCTGCAGTGCTTCAAATTTAGATGCATGGTTGGAACACTTCTTCTGAGGGCCCAAAACTCATCAAAATTATTTACTGTTTTTTCTCAGCAAATTGATTCCTTTCCTGACAGCTTACTTATTTGGGCATTTTCTGCTGCAGCTTAACACAAATATCTTATGTTGAACTTTAAATTGTAATGAGTGATGATTATTAATTCCATCACATCTTGATGGTAGCTACAAATTGTCTCTCATACTTGAAAAATATCTTCAGGAAATGCACTTGGAAAATAATGCAGCTTCTCTGTATTTTTTAGAAATTGAGTTTGTCTTGACTTTATTGCTGCAACAAATGACAAGTGAAATCACTAAGTGTCTCTATGATGAACAGTTTTACTCTGACATCAATGAGTATTAATAAAGCTGGTCAATGTGGAGGCAAGGCACAGTGCTTCATTCATTTCAATGCAATATTTGATGATGCTGAACCTGCTGAATTTCAATGCATTTAATTTCTATGTGGAATATGTTGCAGACAAATAATTTAGGATGAATCAATTTCTCAATGAACCAAAGATGCAAAAAGAAAGTGATTTGGCCCAAGAATAGCCTGCTGAGAACTAATTTGTTTCTGTACTTCATGGAACTAGTATTTTTAATTCACCAAAAATAAAGCGTTCACTGGTTCAAACTTGGACAGTCACTAAATTTCCATATTTGACATACATTGTTTGCCTGATACATCATCTTCATCAATAAAGGTGAAATGCAAGAGAGATATGATGGAGTACATTTTGATTTAATGTAATTAGGAAGCTTCAAGGAAATGTTGGAAAATATGGTTAATTACATAATTTAAACATTCATTTTAAGTTTGTGGTGGGGGGTACCTGACTGTTCCAGAGGATGAAAAGGGGTACGCGCTTCAAAAAGGTTGAAAAGCCCTGTTCACTAGACTACCTCTAAAGAACAAATAATCAAAGAGCAGTTGCAATAAAGGTGTTCCCATATAATACAGTACAGTAGGAGCACTCGGGTCCGGAGCAATATTCACGCGCCACGTTTCATCGGAACCCGCGTCGTCGTGTATCATTAGAACAAACAGAAGCCGCATGCTGAGGGCATCCCTTTTCTCCCCGACTTCACTTTTGTTTTTCACATTTTCGGCGGAATGCCTGGGGGGGGGGGGGTAGCATTCCCACGATATTCTCGCGCTGTTCCCCGACCCTAACGGAGATAAATCAAGGGCACCGCTTGTTTCCCGTTGCTCCTGATCGTGGCCCGGAATCAAGCGCCTGGATGAAGAATGCTCGCCTGATGATCCGCCCCTTTTTGGCACAAGTACCCAGCCAGGCACAATGGCTCCGAATCACTGCCTCGCTCGCTCACCACATCGACGCCTTCGAGAGAAAGCGCATCAAAAATTTCCGTGTCCGGAATAATTCATGCAGCGCCACCCCCGGGTTCCTCTGGCAATGATGTTATGCGAGAAATGCCGTCGTCGTGGAACCCAGTGGGAAACCTGCAGGGAGGAACGTATGACGTTCGTTTCCTCTCGAATTACATACAGCACACGATGACATAGGGATTGATATTGGTTGCCTGGTGTATATATGCGGTAGCAACATAGCCACTG